TATTTTAAACTAGCTATTGTACACATTTTAAAACATTTGTGCAGTATTCATAATTAATTTTATTAAAGTTTGCTTTCAATTTTTTAATATAGACAGTTTCAACAATTTTTAGCTTGTTTATTTTCATGAAAAAGTATAGATGCATTTTCAAAAAGAATTTTTCTGAATTGTTGAATGTGGATAGGCATGCTGTTGTAAATGTTTAGAAATGTTGGACACATCATTCAAATGAAAACTCAGCCCCCAAGACAACATGGTTGTAGTGTGGCCAACATAGATATTATTTTTTCTGTTGGAGATACAATCTCCCAAACTTTTAGCAATTTCTATACATCTAATCTTGAAAATAATAAATTTAACAATTTTAAAAACCCTCCATCTACCTAAGATACAGCAATTATATCCTTATATTAGTCAAGAATATGGAAGAAATAAATCATCTCCAAAATAATTCTATCTTTAAATTTACAAACTTAATAATAGCAATAAAATAGTCATATGAAACGTAATTATCAGCCCAAACTTTGTCTCTTTCTTTTGTAATATGATAGGTATTACTACACTTTGTGCAAACATCAGTACTGTCACATAGCAAGTAAGTGTTCAAGTCTGGATTGTGCTCTAAAAATCATCTATCTTTCTTACATTTTTTTTATTTTCAGAATAAGCAAGTCTTGTTCTGCTTTTACTTTTATTTCTTCCAAGGTAACTAGTAGTTTGTATACTATATTGCATAATATATTTCTAATTTTATTTCACTTTTTAATGCTGCAATAACAGTGCTCTCAAACAGTTCAGTATTTTTTGGTATCAATCTTGATAAACCATCAGCATGTCCTAATTTTTTGCACAGTTGGCTTTTTTTTTTTATAATAGAGGTCTGTGATCTGTCTGTAAACGAAAACTGCTTCCATGTATAAATTTGTTAAATTTTTTTCACTGCAAATATTATTCCTTATGCCTCTTTTTTGATCTGGCTATAATATTTTTCTGTTGGTAGTAGCTAATGCAAAGAGTGCTTTCATGTTACTGTCATCATATTTATGTAGAATTACTGCTTCTATAACATAGTCACTAGCATCTGATGCCAATATTTCTGCTTTTGGATCACAGTGCACTAATGATAAGTCTGATGTTAGTATTTTCTTGATTTCTTCAAGCATCTTCGGACACTTACCAGTCCAGTTCCACTTTACACCTTTTTTAAGCAAATTGTTCAGTGGAAGTCTCAAATTCTGCATATTAGGTATATAGATTTGATAATAGTTTGCTAGTCCCAGAAATGCTTGTAACCAAGTAACATTTGTTGAAGGACGCATATTCTTAATTGCACTTGCCCTTGACAGATCTGGTTGATAAACATTTTTGTCAAGGATATGTCCTAGGTACTTGATTTTTGGCAAAAATAATTTGCACTTTTCCTCACTGAGTTTAAACCTGTATTCTCATATTTTTTCAAAAACTCTTTTTACATGCCCGATATGTTGTTCCTTAGATACACTCTTAATTAATATATCATCCAGATAAGCAACTGCGACATCACAATCTGCAAGCATAGTATCCATAACTTGTTGAAATATAGTTGGATCCACTTTCATCCAAAAAGGAAGTCAGTTGAACTTATACAATCCCTTGTGCATATTTATAGTTATTAACTCTAAACATTCTTCTTCAACTTGTATTTGCAAATACACTTCAGAAAGATCCAGCTTTGAAAAATTTTTTCCACCCTTTAAATTTGCAAAAAATTTCCTCTGAATTTGATAATGGTTAGTTTTGGCATTCTAAACATTTGTTTAACTCTGTTGAAAAATCAGCACAAACACAAATTTTATTATTTTTTTCTTTATAAACACTACCAGTTCTGCCTATTTTGAAAGGTCAACCTTTTCAATTACACCTATTTTTTCAAGTCTGTCTAATTCTTCATTGACTTGATCCAATACTGTGAACTGTACACTACATTTCAGTTTAAACACTGAAGTCAACCCTTTTTTAACTTAAAATTTCACTTTGACTTTGGAACACCAACCCAACTCATTTAAAAAACATTATTTCAATTCTTCCTTTAAATTTTCACTTTTTTAAACTGTGTTATACCAGAACATTACCTATTCTATTGTAATAGACTCTCCCACAGATAATAAGTAGTAGTAGCAGTGGCCAGTTGAGCTCAGTGGAGTTGAGTGAGTCAGTCGATGTCGGACATTGAAGTATCAACCATCACAACTAGATTGCTGCGTCATTAACTATTATTGCAAGTTCCTAACATTTTGTACGTCGAACCCTTTTAGGACCGACTTACCAAAATACTGTGAAAATTACTCTACAACAAACTGGTAGTGTGTTCACTTACATTTTTGCAATAAATATTTGTAGGTAAATCCCACAACTCAAATAATTCCATCCAGTCAGTACTGAATAAGTTTGTAGTAGTTTTTAACATATAAGCCTTAGCTTCTACACACTTCTTATGAAATGAAATGTTACAAGTCATTCCACGAATAAAAAAATAGTTTCTTACCCAATACGCCACTTGCAATTTTCAAAGTTCTTTTAAATATAGGTTTTCTGTTTGCTTTCCATGTGGCTTCAATGATTATTATGATATCACTACCAGTATCTAGTTGCATTTTTATATCCACATTATTAATTTTCCAATACAGAAATTTTTTGACTTTCTGTATTTATTTTTTCCATTGCAACACAGTACAAAATTTTTCTTAAGAGGACTTTTCCTTGCTTTAGTTTTACAGTGAATTTTTATGTCACTAATTTTCCACAATTGTAGCACGTAAAGGGACAGTCATTTCCAAGATGTAACCTTCCACATCTGAAACATGGAATAATTTTTTTTTTCCACGTTTTCCTTTAGCTTGTATGTATGCATATTCTTTTTCTTCAATTTCTTCTGTATCGTGTCTCAGAGTTAGGATTCTCTGACAGTCATCCCACAATTCTTGCAGTGTTAGTTTTTGACTTTTGTTAGAATTCTTGCATGTATTCCTGCGTCTTTCTTCACTGTTAACCCCTGAATGAAAATTAACTCTTTAAACATTTCTGGTGTCAGTTCATTTAATTTGAGTGTTTCACACTCCTTGTTAACTATTCCAGTATATGTGACAAAATCTTTGTCTTCTTTTTTCATCAGGTTCATACACTTCCAATGAGTATTGAATAAACTTTTCTCGCTAAAAATTTTGTCAGAATATTTACTGTTTCTTGAAAGCAAATTACTCCTGTTTTTTTTGGTAGTACAAAATAACAGTATTTTTCATGTTCTACCAGTGCTAACTTTCTCAACAAGTCTTGTTTTTTTTTCTCATATTCCTAGTTGCTGCATTCTTCTCTGAAAATTTGATCGTATCTTCTAAAATAAGCAGAAAAAGTAATTCTATCATCTGAATTGCATGCAAAATCAGTTATGGCATTTGCCACCACATCAGAAATGAAAGAACTTTGAGAATTTTCCGTTTTCTTCCATATCATTTCAATTAAATTTTCTTGTTATTTCTGGAGTTCTAACAACTGCTGCTGTTGTATTTTTACAACTTGGGCTAATAATTCTTCCATATTTAAAGAATATCTGTTTTTTTTTTTTCTTCTTTCTCTTTTTTCACACACTAAAAAAAAAAATTAAACCAACATGGTTTTAATTTCTTGTCACTGTTATTATGTGCACCAAAACAAAAAGTACTTTTCACTCCTCTGTATGAGTTTTTATCCCTTGTTGCCACTGTTATAACTCACTCCTAGCAGTTATAATATTATGTCTTACTTAGGCTACTTGCCATGACATTCCCAAATGACTCCAACAGACTTCTAGCTACTTACTTCTTTATTCAAGGCATCTTGCCTAGTTCATTTGTGTTACCAGGGATGTGTTATTTACTACACAACACAAGTAGACTCACTTGCTATTTCAATAGGACACATCTAAATGAGCATGCTTTTAGGAGTAAACTTACATGAACAATGTACAGGTTAAAATGCAACTACCTTGCAGAGCTCAAAAGTCACTGAAGGAAACATCAAAGAATGGTTGAAGAAACCTCATTTGTATAAAAAGTGACTATTTTTTTATCATAAGTTGATATTCCACAATATATATATATATATATCACTTCAAATGTTATTTTTAGTGGATACTCATATTTGAGCAGGTGATCCAATTATTTATTAAACAGTATATTTATTTATTTTCATCTGGTGGCCTGAATATTTGAGAAATCTTATTAAAATAAAAATTTACGCTCTCCAGCAGAAATTGAACCTGCATCCCTCAGAGCAGAGGGAGCTACTGTTTAGCCTGGTACACATTACCAGCTTGGCCACAGAAAACAGTCAGTCAGGCAATGACAAATTTCATGCTTTTATATACATATATATACAGGTTCACAGTCATATCACGTTAAAACACCAATTCCTATCTAATCACTGAAATTAAACAACATTTAGCTTGGTCAGTACCTAAATAGGTGACTGCTTGGAAATACTAGTTGCTGTAAGCTTGTATGTGCAGGTGGTTTAATGGATAACATCACAGAATGAGAAGCCGGAAAGCAGAGTTCAAATTCTAGTCAAGTTGGTTACATTCCCATGCACAAATACCCTTGAGAAAGATATGAATCTATCTCTTCTCCCACCAGCTATAGGTAAATAGTAGGAGAGATTGGACCCTATACCCTTGGTTGGTCACTGGTCTAGAAGGAAAACTTTGAATCCAAACCAGCCTGGTAAGGTTTGGCAAAGGATAGATGAGCTAGGAGACAAAATCCTGTCTAAAAAAGCCTGCAATTGTAGCAGCATCTGACATTTGATACACAGTGCACAAGTACAGGACATTGTGCTATGATGGAGAGAGTGCAAAATCATTTACAGACAACACTTTTATAAAGACATATCTATTGAACAAAAAGCAACCAAAAATAGGTAAAACTTCTCAAATATTTTCTTGTCAAGGTTAAATGTCAAATTGAAACCAAGAAAAAAATAGTGACCTGGTGTCTGGACCACAGCATGGAAATTCTTTTCTTGCAGTTGTTGAATTCGATCAGATTTTTCTTTGGATTCTTTTTCATGAGATTTAATCTTTTGCATGTATTGGTTGTTCAGGAATTTTAAATCTGCTAAAGTATGTTCAGAATTTCGCATGGAAGATCTGAGTTCTGAAAAAAGAAAAAGTGAAGGCTAAAATTCATAGAAATATTCCCAGACTTTGTATTTAATTGTGCAGTTTTATGTTTTAAAACTCCAAAATTGAAATAATCCTACATAAAATCCCTAAATTTCAAATTAAAGAAGCCTGCAAATAAATTTGTAAAGAAAACATTTGAAGTGGTTTACAATAGAAATGTACAACAAAAAAAGCATTCCAATTGATTTACAAAGAAATTAATTTAAATTATATATACATATCAACTGAAAAATAAGATAATTCCCTCAGTAACCCTAAATGGGAGTCTTTGAATTCAATAAAAAATCAGCAATTTTAATTATTTATTGAATCATAACTTATTAGAAAGCTATCACCATTGTGAACACTTGGATTAAATTTTATTTAAATATCTGGGAAGAATGAATTTCACAAAAGATTTCAAGTACAGTTAAACAAAAGGATAAAAATTTGGTCCAGTTAACCTGATGGACACAAAGTCGGGATCTAGTTTTATATTAAGTTTGTAACTGAACTCCCCACTAAAATAAATTTTGGAATTTTCAAAAGCTAATATGCTAAAAAAATGATTCCCATGGTCCTATAAGTAAGCAAAGAAAATTTGCTGGCTAAAGATTTCACTGTTGCTGACTAAAAAGAGATTTGATGAATTATAGTAAGATGCTTTTGAAACTAACAAATAATAATGAGCTGAAAAACCTCTTCTAGTAGTGCAATTTTAAGCATGTTTGTACATGAGGCCTAAATAGCAGCTTTGGAAACAAAAAGTGATCATAGATTTGAACTATGTATTTATTGAATCATCATCATGAACTCTTGGATTATATTTATAAAGATTTATAGTAAATTTCATAGAGAGGTTAACATTTATGAGCCCTTGGTGGACATTTTTTGAACTAAAAGTGTAAACACAATCATTTTCCAATAGCCCCCCCCCAAAAAAAAAGAATGAAAAAAGTCAGAACTTAAGACTCTGGTTATAAAATTTTCAATTAAATGCCTACTTTCTGTTTAACCAAAAAGATGAAGATTTTGTATGGAGTGAGTAGCAATGGTCAAATGCAAAGTAAGTAACAGAATTGTCCAACAAACAAAATTGACAAAGTTTGCAATAAGCAATTATAAGAAAAAGAGAAGAACAGGGCAAAAAATAATATAAAGCAGGTAAACAATATATGCAAGACAAATTAACAGTAATAAGGAAAAGCAACAGTAATCTGGCAAAAAGTTCACAAAATAAGAATTGGGGTTGACACAAAAAAACAATTTCAGACAAGTGAATGTAGTGTTCTAACTTCAAGACAAGATAAACAAGGACCGAGTCAGATGAAACCAAGAACCAGTTTATTTTATTGGCTAGGAAAAAATCCCAGCATGCACTTGTGTGCTTCTGCCTATAAAGTGGGGAGGGGCAAGTGTTTTGCAGTCATTCCTACCAGAGATTGGAATCAACATTTGTTTTAACTAACCTGAAAGTAAGGGTTCAGTTTAACATTACACTTACACTGCATTTGCTAAAAACTTTGAAGGTTTTGTAAGTTTTAAAAATGAATATGCAACAAACAAGCTCTAGAATCTGATTAGTACCTATAGAAAATCTGGTGGCATTTTTGTGTTAAGCAATGACCAACAAAAAAAAAAAAAAAGACATTTAGTGAATGATAGAATTCTCCATTTTCCACATTGGAAAAGCCATAATGTTGTTGCCATCTAAGCACTAATAAAAAAAAAAAAAAGATCAGTGATGCAAAATCACAAAATCTAAGAATGAATGTAAATGGTTATAAATTTGCATTAATATAGTGTCATACTGTTTCTCAAATTGTGTTTGTCATAGTCTGATTCAAGGCACAATCACAATCACTTTTCTATTTGCTTGGTTTTTCTCTCTGCATATAGACTTAATGGAGAGACAAAACTTTAAATTTACTTAATCCATTTATCTTCTCTTTTCATTAACATTTCTTATTCACACAATAATTTCATTTTAAAAATGGGTATTTATTCTAATGTAGTACAGGTGTGACTCACTGCTGACTAAGTATTTAACATGCATTTTGAATGGCTTTGCACACTATTAAGTTTTGATTTCTATATATTACTAGCAGTAGAGCCTGGCATTGCCCAGGGATATAACAGTAAGAGATAGATCAAGTATCGACTATCATAAAGACTGAAAAATAAAATTGACAAAGATTATTGTTTATGGTTGACAGACACGCATGTCTTAATTATTTTTTTTTTTTTTTTTATGAATTGGTCAAACCCAGACTCAAACAAAAACATTGTTTTCAATCGTTATGAGTCTACTGATTGAATAGAATTTTATTATAAACAATTGTCTTGTAAATGGAATTTTTAAAGCATTCTGAATGTAAAAATAAAGAAAAAAGCGTGCAAGACAATAAGAAACACTACCTGCCAAAAAAAAAAAAAAAAAAGAAAAAGTGAAGTTTTGTTGAAATCGGTTGAAAAATGCAGGAAATCTGATCCCATATATAAACGAACACACACACACACACACAAAACAAGCTGGGTTTTATAATAGGTATAACTCGATATGAGTTGTCCCCCTTTTATTCTCGTGATGACTCTTAATCGTGTTTTCAAATTGATTTTGTGCAAAAACAATTGTGTTTTTCCAATTTTTGGTGCTGTCAGAATCACCACAAGGTAATTCTACGTAGCCCTGTGAAGTTTTGTTGAAATCGGTTGAAAAATGTAGGAAATACAATCTAATATATAAACGTACAGACAGACAGACACACAAACACACACACAACCTGCGTTTTATAATAAGTATGATTAAAAAGATTTATATCATCATAAAGTCTTAGAATGACTAGTTTGATTTGATTTACTATTTGATAATTTGATTAGTACATTTCTCATGCAACACCATCTTCAAAAATTATATAAAAAGCTGTAAGAAACAATTTTAATTCCATTAATATCATATGAAATGTTCCATAAAAACTTACCATTCACAAGAACATCGTACTCTTCTTTTTGTTTAATTAGCTTTTGGTTTAAAGCCAGATTCTCTTTGACTAATTTAGCATTATCATTCTTATAACATTCAGCAGCAGAATTATCCTCTCCTCCATCATCTTTCTTCCCTTTGTCTACCTTTGATTTGCGCAGATCTTCAATGGTTTTCACAAGGTCTACAAACAGACGCTCAACCAATGGCAATGACTCGATTGCCAAGGCTTCCTTGTAGCCAAGTTGATCAAGTCGACGTCGAAGGTTCTTCATTTTTTGTGTTGCTTCCATGGGTCCTTTGGACGCCATCTTGGAAGCAGTCCCACCACCACCACCACCTCCACCAGCAGCAGCAGCACCTGTAAAAATGAAATTAAACAATGAAAGTAGACAATGGAAATCAGTTTTAATCAATGATTACATTTTGATCATCTCTGTCACTATTTCCATGGCAAAGAGAAAGTTCCACTCAAACAACTTTTTCCCAAGAATTGATATTTTGTATAACAGACCCCTACATGTATGTTTCCTTGAACACTACAATCTTCATCTATCCTCATGATCTTCACTTCCTCTTTCTTTCTTTCTTATCATACACCTCATTCATCATAACCACATTAACAGTAATCCCTCTACCTTGAGGGGCTCTTGGGCTCTATATTGTGAACTTTTGTATAAAAAAAATTATATTCAAATTAAAAGTAAAGTGTGTAACTTGTAAGAGGTTTTTGAAAATAAAACAAAGAACAAAGGCATTTCTCATGAGATATTTAACCAATCATTCCCAAGTGACTAAACAACAATATATGTGGTGAATGAGCATGGATCAAAAAACTTGTAGCCTGACATTTAGTATTATAACTCCAGTTATAATGTTGCGCTTGATTTAGATATCCTCATCGCCAACTATTATAACTTCTTATTGTAAGGTTAATGTTATAACATACACTTGTACTTGTTATAACGGAATTCATTAAATATTCTCTATATGTAATGCTTAGGCTATTGCCATAATGCCTGTATAGTTAGTATGAAGACTGACTACAATAGGACTGGTATTTACCCAATCCTCCCCACAAAGAGGAATGTGGTACAAAGCAGTTTTTGTGGGGCGATTCCAAACCCATAGGCTCAGGCAAAAATTCCCCTTAGACACCTGCATGCAGGGGCCAGGTTTGTCTACTGTAGGGATATCCTCATCTGGGTTCCTCTTTGCCCAAGGGCAAAGAGTTCAATAAGCCTGTCGCAAACCTGGAAGCAAACTGCCTGACTCCAATACAGTTACTACTAACCTCATACTATGGAAGTATTGGATGAGTTCATGAGTTCCAGTGGTGTACTGTTTACTCCACAACATTTAGTTTGCTGAATTTTTATCTGAAATATTTACTGTATAATGTCCAATCTATGTGATTAATAATTACTACTGAAGTGCACTGATAAAGAGTGAGGTTGTTGAAGCCAACAATGGTTGTGTTAACACAAAGTTACAAGTCATCATGACTGAGAGTTTGAATATACTGGCCTTATTCAATGACTGAGCATGCCAGATTGTGTGTTTCGAGAGAAATGGTAACTAAAGTCTGCTCAGCATAGATGCAGTATAAACCACAGGTGGGCTTTGTGAATGCTAAAAAAATACAAAATGTCTCCGAGCAGTTGCCTGCAACAAGAATTAGCTAGCCACCCTAGTATACTCCACAATTTCCAGAGATCAATGGAAGCTGAGTAATCTATAACAAATCAACATCCCTTTATTTGTGCTTGTGCAAATGTTGACACAAAAGAAAAGGCAATATTTTGTTTTAAATAGAATGATTCTTTGCGGCTTATTTAAAGCCAGAAAATTAAGACCTCCAAAAAGGCCTCTAACTTGATAAAAACCAAGTTTTATTGTCAAAATGTTTATGTTAAGAAGAAAGATTGAAGTATTTTTTGATTAATTTATTAAATTTTTTAATCCTTCCTAGCACATTCAAACTTTGGGTTAAAAATCTTGTTTTTCTTGTATCAGTGAGTGGGCCAAAGATTAGTATGTGAAATTTAGTGTCTTTTTGTGGTAATTATTGTTGGATTTTAATGAAATTTTCAGGACTTATTCACAAATGAATTATATTATTTTTTAAATATTTTTTATAAAATTTTAGTAAAAATACCTCTTTTTCAAATCTTTTACCTGCACTTAATTTTATAAAAATTTGAGTAATTAAAATTTCAGGGTCTTTATATTAGTTAAAAGTAAGACTCTTTAGAGAATTTAAATCCTCAATTTGTTTTTGTCAAACAGAAATACCATTTACCAAAATTCTGCTCTGAATTGTAAAATAAAAAATGCAATAAAACTATGACATTATTTTAATTAGAAAAGCTTTTATAAATAAGATAAGGACACTATTGTCTTTAAAAGTTTTTTTTTTGATGAATAATGAATTTTTACAAGAATTGTCTTCATTTTTAAAAAATTTTAATTAGAAAAATTTATTATGTTTTAAATCTTTTAAAATTCTGTATTCTTTCAGCAGTTTTAATGATATTATTAAGTGAAAATTATATTTACAAATCATAAATGGAAAAGCTTAATGCAAATCATCAAACAAATATTTTTGAAATAATTTTAAAATTTTTTATTAGTGTATAAACATGCCAATTTTTCTAAATTTGGGCAACCATTTTAGACAAAAAAAAAAAAAACTTCTTCCAGTCAATTTAAATTAGTTTTTAAAATACAGCAAAGTACTTTGCTTATTGGAAATATTAAATTTAATCTATTATTAGCTTGAAATTAAAACTAAAATAAAAGGTTCAAGAAAGATTTTTCATTTTTGGGTATTATTTTTTTTTCTGTTTTTTGTAGAGGTACCTAGATAAAATATTTTTAGATTATTATAAATTTTTGGCAATAATAATAATTTAGTGATACAAGTCTTACTAATTAACCCATAGCTGGGGAAGAAGGGTATTTGTGTGTAAGTGAATATAATGAACTGAACTGAAATTGGAACTCAGCTCTCCAATTAACAATTCTGAAGCATTATCCACACCACACACGCATCAAAGCTTACAGCACCAAGCGATCACCCATCTAGGTACTGACCAGGAAAACATTACTTAACTTCGGTGATTGTATGGGAACCAATGTTTCAATGTGATATGGCCATAAGCCATAAGCCTTTTTAAATAGAAGAGCTTAGGACCAGGCCATTAACCTTTTAATGCTTGGACATGGTTGAAGATGTTAGTTTTCAACCAAATTTTTAATATGACACCATTTACAGGTTACTTTCTTAACATAATAGATTTCAGAGTCAAAAACTTGTATTGTATATTGTAGTGTGCAGCAGAAATACCTCCCTCATAATGGTAAGACATTAGTAGCAATGATGTTTTCATCTAGCTAATGTCTTACTATTATGTGAGAGGTATTTCTGTTACACCTTGTATTTTAGTCTTTTCCATGTAGATTATTGATAAAATATTAAAAAATAATGCTTGTCTGGTATAAAAAAAAATGTTCCACTTGTGGAACAATGGGCCCTAGAAGATTAATAGTAATTCAACAAGAGAATATTTTAAAAACAAATTTATTTTGTTTATTAAAGCTTTCTATGGGGGAATTACAACTATAAATTACTTCCCAAATAAAAAACAATTCTAACAAACATATTGGTAACATGAATCTGAACAGTTGTTTAAATGAACTAGTATAATTCTATTTTGTGATTTTATTTAATGTGCCTATATGACTGATGAAGTTATGAGAGTTCTTAATGGTTGAAAAAAGCTTTATAAGGGATCAGATGTGAGAGTAGTGTAATAGTGAATCAGAAAGAGAAATTAGCAAACCAATTTTGAATTACAGCCAAATTTGTCATGTTCACTTTCACACAAATAATCTTGGAAAAGGCATTAATCTATCTCTTCTACCTACAGCTATGAGTTAAATAGTAAGGCAGACTGGGATCTTTTGCCTTGAGGTGGCAACCAGTCTAAGAGAAGAAAAACTCTCAATTCAAAACCAACCAGAAAAGAGATAAGCCCTGTTAGGCTACCTTGCCCTATACACATCACTGCTGTCATGGCTGCAGTACATGTGGTGTTCCTACAACCCTGGTGGGTTATGGGACTCATGACATAATGTGATAATGGGATCAGTGAACAGAGTTCAAACTCTGGCTGGAACACTGTATTCACTTTGCACTAATGCACTTAGGAAAGCATGAAACCACTTCTTCCAAAAACTATAAGTAAATAAAAGTACAGTGAGAACTCTTTAGCCCTTTAAAACAGTTCATCTTTTGAATCAAGTTAGCAATCTGTAGAAATTCACTTGCTACTGAAACCAGATCAGCATCACTTGGTAGTGTTGTTAACTTTATGCTTCAAAAAGCATCCATTGCAAGAATAAACAACATTTGACTGATACTTTAAATCAACTACAGCAATTATAATAATTGTGATTCAGCCTGTTCTGCTTTCATTCCCATGAAAAAAAATCAATGGATAAAAAAAGAAGTTTAATCACTTCATGCTTTTCATTAAATGTCAATTGGTTAATCAACTTTTGTTTTGTATGACAGATCTTTTATAGCCAACTACCAAAAACAATGTCAGACAACCAGTTAATATAAATAGCTTTAATAAGTGCTGGTAAGAAATATATAGCAAATTTTAAGTCATTCTTCATGTTCTAACACATTTCAGCCAATCCATTTTTCTCCATAAGAAAAAAGGAAAGACCTATTTTTTTTACAGAAATATTGTATTAACAATATCAAACATGCAAAGTAGAATTTCAGTTGTACTCAAAAAGTTTGAAATGTTAATGTCTTTTCTCAAACTTATAAACAGTAGACAATGATTATCATGACTTGGCAAAGATAGTAGTAAGGTTTAAAGTTGATTTTAAAGTTAAAATTGTCCTTCTCCTACATTGGTTTCCACCCAAGGCTAGAGAGTCCAGTCTATCCTGCTACTTAACCCATAGAATTGGTAAGAAGAGATGGATTCATGCCAAGGATATTTGCACAAAATTAAATACAACAGCTTGGGCAGAATTTGAACTTGGTTTTCCAATTTCACTTTCTGTGCCAACAACACCACCAGTGTTACAAAATGATAACAGAAGTTTTTTAATGCCATGATAACATGAGTCATGATAATTCTCCACAGATTTCTCTTAATTATCTGTGAATTGCACTGCATTCTGGGGAAAGTAGTTTTCTGTTGCTTTCTCCATGTTTTGGATTTCAGACTTTTCCTTCTCTTAAACTGGTTACCACCAAGGGTGACAGAATCCATACTACTATTCT